ACTTTTACTCACCTCGCTGAGGAAAACCTGCAAATTATCTTTTCATTGAGCTATAATAACAACTTTGTTTTCTAGCTTTAGGGATGTCCATATGGATGGGGTTCAGTTCTTCCAACATTGTTTTATTTAATTGTTGGTCAAGGGTCAGCTATATGGTGGAGCATTGGACATAGCTCAATATCAAATACACCTTTATGATACAGCTGAGTGAAGCTTCCTTACCTGGGTGGTCCATCCTTTCCCAAAGGCTAAGTATCAGAGAGCTCCTGTGGCTGGCTGCCTTGTATTTAGGTGACCAGGGTGCACTGTCAGCAACCCGAGCCTTTATCCCTGAGCCAACCAGCTTTCTCATTCACTACTTTTTATTGGAAGAACTGGGGAAATGGGGTGGAGACTAGTCCAACTTGCATGGGAAAGGGTTTAGAATATTACTCCACATATCTCAAACCTCAGCATGTCCAAATCCAGACTAATTTTCTTTCTCCAAAATCCTTCCCTCTTCTGAACTTCCCCATTTCTGTCAAAAGCATCACAGTGCCATCACAGTCAAAGATACTCTGACTCTCAGTAGTGGATAGAGTGTTGGATTTGAATTCAGAAGAGCTGAGCTCCAATTTTGCCTTGTGCACTCATTTAACCTCCCTGAGCCCCAATGTCCTTATCTGTTAAATGGGTATAATAATAACACTACTTCCTAGGGTTGTTGTGAAGATAAAACATTTGTAAAATGCTCTGCAAATGTTAAAGCTTCAGGTAAATGCCGTTATTATTACTGCTAATAATAATAGATTTTTCAAACCCTAAAACCTACATGATTTTTAGTGCCTTTTGGCTGCTTTTCTGACCTTCCACCAACATCAATTGTAATAATAATATTAGCTGGTATTTATGTAGTGTTTTAAAGTTTGCAAAGCACTTTACAAATGTTATCTCATTTTATGCTCACAATAAGCCTGCTAGGTAAATGCTGTTATTATCCTCATTTTACAGATAAGGAAATTGAAGTAGTCAGGTTCAGCAACTTGTCCAAGATCTGACAGCTATTAAAAGTCTGAGATGGGAATTTGAATTCAATGAACTCTTCATGAGTCTTGAACCAGCGTTTTAAGTATTTTGCCCCCTAGTTGCAGAGGACTTTGATTTTTATATGCATTTTTAATGTGTTTCATGGGTCACAGTAACCATAAACTTGATCAACTCATGGCTAACTTTCTGTACCCAGAGCCTTTCCAATTTGATAGAAACTGTCTATAAGCTCATGCTTTAAGAACTGTCACCACACCATGATGAGCTTTCACAATAGGACTTTAAAGCTAAATTTAAAGTTCTACCCTTATAATAATAATCATAACAACAATGACAAAGTACAGTGGTATAGGATTGAGGTAGAGGCGGAGGGACGACAGGAAGTTCAAATGAAAAAGACTTAGAAGTATAAGTTGATTATATGATGGGTATCTAGTATGTGATATGTCTGCTAAAAAGTTGATTTATGAAAGGGTGGTGTTAAGAAAGGAGGTGATAGTCCTGATGTGCTGGTTAGACTGTCTCTGGAGCAATGTATACAGTTCTGGCTACCACATTTTTGGTAGGACATTTAGTTGGAGCATATTCAGAGGAAGTTGAGTAGGGTGGCACAGGGACCTAAAACCATGTAAGCAGACTCCATGGAGAAACAGAATATGTTTACCTAGAGAGGCAGGACTTAGCGGGAGACATGATCAATGCCTTTCAAATATCCGGAGGACTGCCAGGTGGAATAGAAACCAGATTTGTTTTGCTTGGCCCCAAAGGGAAGAACTAAGACTTAGTGGATGGAGAAATTCAGGAGTATTGATTTCAACTTAGTATAAGGAAGAACTTTCCAAGTATTAGAGCTATCTCAAAATAGAGTAACCTGCCTTGGGAAGAAATGAGTCCCCTTTTAATGAAGGTTGTAAGGCAGTGGTTGGAGTTTATTGAAGATTGTATAGAGGGAAGCACCTTTCAGGTAGGGATTCACTTAGATGCCCTGAGATGTCACCTCTACTTTAGATGTTTTATGGTTCTTTGAATGGATTAGTCTGACTGGAGTAGTGCTTAGATGGAATGTAGTAATGTAGGAGGGGGAACTAAAGTTGAAAAAAGCTAAATTAAAGAGGACTCAGTGTCAGGCTGTAGGGTTTGTACTTATACCATTGTAGACAGTGGGAGTCATTGAACATTTGTGAACAAGGCTTTTCAGGGGACGAGGGTGGGGGTGGGGTGAAACTGATGTTTTAGAAAGATGGATCTCATGACAGTGTTTAAGATGAATTGGAAACGGGAAAGGGGGAGCCAAGGAGAGTTACTGCAGTGGTAGATGTAAGTAAATGGAATCAGTTGCTTTGGAAATGAAAAGGAAGGGACAAATGTAAGAAATATTGTATAAGAAATGTCACTTAATTTTTGAAGAGACCTGTTTATAAAGCATTTCCTGCAGAAAAGAACTGGAAGTTTTAGTGGATTGCAGACTTATTGTGAGTCAACAGTATGATGTGACTGACTCAAAACATTCATAGAAGATGCCTGATTAGATATAGGTAACAAGGGAGAGGAAGAAATAAATGATGGTTCCCAAGTTTTTGAGCTTGTCAGCCTGAGAGGTTGACGATAGGACCTGCTATGTACCAGGCACTGTTCTAAGCTCTAGCTGTAAAAAGGCACAAAATAAAGTTCCTGCCCTCAAGGAGCTTATAATCTAATGGGGTGGGGGGAACAACATGCAATAATGGAAACAACAAAGCAACCTATATATGTAGGATAAATAGGAAGTAATTAACAGAGGGAAGGCACTAGAATTAACTATCTTAACAGAAATTAGGGAACCAAGTGGGAGAGCTAATATTAGGGGAAAAGATGATTTAGGCTTTAGATTTATTGAATTTGACATAATGGTGGGATATCCGAAGTGGAAATGCCTATCTGGTGATTGGAAGTCTAGTACAGGAAAAGAGGTGAGGTTAGGATTTGAGTCCTCCCCATAGAGCTGATACTTGAACTGTCTGTGGTGCAGTCCAACTATTATACAGGATATTTTGGATTTTCTCTGGTCAGTAGGTTTATTTAGCAGAAGTACCTGAGAGAATAAGTCATGATAAAATGAAGGTTGTCTTTACATTTGTCATCTATTTTGTGGCCATTTTCAAAAATATTATATGACAGATGACAAGTCAGTCAAGCTGCCAACATATCCAAAAACCGTTTTTCCATACGTAGATTTGAATAAAAGTTTTGTAGTTTGCATCATGGATTATGCATCAGGGAGAAAAAATGCAAGGGACACTAAATGTGTGGTTATCAAAAGTGCCATGTATGCTTGCTTTGAAACAGTGAATTATCTCTGACCAGAGCCTGAGATTTTAGCAAGGAACATGAGAACACCTTACCCCAAGTTGTAAGGTTGTGGAGGCTTTATATTTCCTTTCTAAACTAAACTTTGGGGCAGGGAGAAATGGGGGAAATTTTAAGGAATTTTTAATTTAAACCTTAAAAAAAAAAACCTCTTCATTTTAAATTTCTTTAGCCTCTTGGGGGTGGTAAAGGGCCTTTTACTGGTTCCAAAACATCATACTTAAAGCAGTGTGTCTTAAGTATAGAGTTCTAGGCTTTGGTAACCTAGGTTAGCCTCTTATCTAATAACTTGATAATTTCATCAACTTAAATAATATCCCTCTTCCAGTCTTTGTTTTCCCAAATTGTATATATCAGGCAGTGATTTGGATTTTTAATATTCATGCCATGCACACATATACCCTCACACCCTCAGAGCCCTTCTTAGCATAAATTGAACTACCATTTACAAGATTAGAAATTTTTTTGGTGTATTGTCCTCCATTATCACTTACATATGTACTCTCTACCTTCTTTAGAGACTCCAGGGATTAGTAAGAAAACACCCATTTTTTCAGTAATGCGTATTTTATTCTGAGCTATTCAACAAAAATCTCATTTTATGATATAAGTTATTCTGGACTAAGTCTATTTTGAGTAAAGAGATTTCTGTAAAAATGGAAAATTTTGTTCATCTCAAGAAAATGCTGCAAGAGCCAATTATAGATACATTTGCGTATTATTAAATTTCTGCTATGGAATGAATTCCAGTGCTAGGGGATGGGAAGGAATCAAATCCAAACCAGACACCTGTCACAGTGAGGGAGGAATGAAAAGCAGGTGGCAGAGAAGGAGAGAGAGGCTTAGAGAAGAATTGGGGGAGGATTTTCTCAGTGGAGCCAAACCGAGTAGGTGAGATGGCTTGGTACAGCCCTGGATCTTAGGAAGTCCCTTGTCATTTTGTCAGCATATAATTTGGGGAATTTATTGCTAAGGAAACTTGTTTTTCTTTTGTAATGCATAGGAACAGTAATAAATCAGTGAATTTATGAAGCAGGAAACTGTTGAGTTTTTATTTAAAGTAGTTTTTGGTAGATGTAACATTGGCAGTGAATGAGTGAGATATCACTAGATTTGAAACATTGAGGTACTGCGTGATGGTTTCTCTTGTTATGTAAAATGGATATTTTTTTTAAAAAGTTAACTTGAAAAAGGAATTTCGCTATTTTACAAATTCCATACGTGTACTCTATACAAATTCTACTACAGTTGAATGTCTGAACCAAATATTTGAATGCTTAGATTAAGCCCATCTCCATAGTTTACCCTGGATGCATCATAAGTGTATGTTTTAAAAAAATCTTTCACTTACATTGACTTTCTATTAATGTGTGACAGCTCAACCCATAAAAATATTTTTACAAGAAACTTTTGAATCTGGAGGAAGAGTATATTAAGTCTAGATAATGGTCAATTGTTTTTTGCTTAATGTAGCTATTTTTTTCTTTTTAACCAGTGTTAAGTGGTATAATTACAATGTTAAGACTCAAAAATATGACGAATGCAGAAAGAGATACATAGAAAGCATTACAAGTTACCTGGAATTCAAATAGACATTCTTCAATTGAACTTTTATGCTTCTTTTCCAGATATTTGAATGGTGGTATTTTCGGAAGTATGGAACATCTTTCATTGAGCAAGTATCAGTGAGTCATTTGCGCCCCCTTCTGGGAGGGGTAGACAATAACTCTCCCAGCAATTCAAACACAAGTAATGGGGATTCCGATTCAAACCGACAAAGTGTATCAGGTATGTAGCTAACTTCAGCTTGCCAATTACCATTTCTCATCATTCAACTTCTTCTCATGTGTGCCATCAGACAGTTATAGGTTCAAGACCATTGGGTTATTTCCATCTAAGTCAGAATAAGGGTGGAAACCTCTAAGCTGGGACAACCAAATGAATTTACTATAGATAGATATCCACAAAGAGGAATTTATTTTGAAATTCCTATCATCTTAATCATCAGCGACTTATCTTAATTTTATGTGTGCTTCATACGTATGCTGTAACATAGCTGTATTCTTAACTCTGGGTATTTCAATCAAGCATTTATTAAATATCTATTGTATGCCCAGCACTATGAAAGACACTGGGAATACACATACAAAGAACAAAACAGTCCTTATTTTCAAGTATGATTTGAAAAATGAAGTGTCCTCATGATTTTCAGAAAGCAGTTGCTTTGAGTCTTTCGGCTTTAGTATAGTTAATCAAGTTTGCCAGTCAGGTTTTCTAAGTATTGTGGTACAAACCTGTATCCTCTTCTGTTGGGGAGTCAGAGGCTGGTGAATTGCTAGTGTTCAGGAGTTCCGAAACGAAGCAGAGATAAGGCAATCAGATAGCCACATTAAGTGTGATACCAATATGGTGAGCCTCCTGGGAGCAGAGGATTGCCAGGCAGCCTGAGGGAAACAGAGAATATTAAAGCTTCTGTCCCCATCAGTATTAGGATGAGGATCAGCAGTGACCACTGCATTCACAACCTGGGTGAGAGAAGAATCAGTCAACCAGGCTTAAACTTCAGTCCTACAACCCAGATCCAAGTAGCATAGTTACATTCCTTAAAAAATATTATATATTTAAAGACATGATTTAAGATTTTTTTTGGCAGTGTACTTTCCACACTAACTATGAAGAATCTTTAATCTCTTTTTCTTTTAGATAAACAAAATGTTCTATGAGTGGTGATGGCTAGTTAAGATTACTTAGCAGATGACATACATACATACATACACACACATGCATGCATGCATAATACACACATACATACCCATGTGTATATGTATGTGTGCATATATACATAAATACACAATACACACATATGTGTATAAAATCTGCCTACTTATATTGCGTTAATATCAAGGACTATTCACTGACTTTATTTTTAACCCTGAAATATTGTGTTCTACAAATGGGTAAAGTGCTAGTGAACTAACCATTCTGATATTGGCAAAGTACCTACTTTTCTTACTTGCATTTCATAATTATAGTACAACATAATAAGCAAGTGAACTTAGCAATGCAGACTTTTGCCTTTTTCTAGAGGCTCTTCCTAGCTAATTGGTTCCAATTCACAGGACCTAATAACATTTTGGAGTGTTTGATACCTATATGATAATTTGTAATAAGTGGGTTTGCAGAGTAAATTTAAATTTGAAGATAAAGAAAGCTCTCATCTTTTTTTTTAAAGTGGCCAAAGAAGTCTATATATTCTTTCCAAAGGACAATTGACTCCTAAAAAAAATAAGTTTTTACTCTTTCTACCTCCAGAAAAAGATCTGATGGCATCTGAATGTAGACTGAAGCATACTATTTTTCTTTTTCTTTCCCCTGCCTTTTTTTTTGGTGTGAGTGTTCTTCCACGAAACTACTAATATGGGAATATGTTTTATATGATTGCACACATATAACCTATATCATCTTGCTTACCATCTCAGGGAAGGAAAGGAAGGGGAGGGATGGAGAGGAGAGGGAGGGAAGGAAGGATAGAATTTGGAACTCAAAACTTAAAAAACCCAAATGTTAAAAATCATTTTTACATATAATTGGGAGGGTATTGATCATTTAATTAAAAAAAAGAAAAATTGCCCCAGAAAAGAGAAATAAATATCTCTTTGTAAGAGCTAAAAAAGGGTTTTTTAAACTAATATCTGCTGATTCTTATTATAGTTATCCCAACTATCCTTTGCTATCCTATATAACGATTTTTTTTAAGCAAAAGAAAAAAAAGCAGCTTAACTGATTAGTATACTGAAAAAATCTGAAAACATGCTATACATAACACCTTTGGACCTCCTATATCCACAAAGACGTGGATTGTGGGGGGGGGGTCTCCTTTCATGTTTCTTCATTCTATTCCTGCTTGATCTAATATTTTTGTTATGTTAACTTTTGATTTTTTTAATCTATAGTTATTTCTACTTATCATACATATTGTTTTCTTGGCTCTGCTCACTTTATTCTTAATCAGTTCATATAGATCCTTTCTTGTTCCTTTGTATTCATCACACATATTTCTTACAGTATAATAATATTCCATTACATCGCAATTTGTTTAGCCATTCCCCAGTTGATGGGCATCTACTTTGTTTCTGATTATTTCCTATCATAAAAAGTGCTGATTTAAATATTTAAGTGTATATGGGGACTTTCTTTTGTATTGATGGTTTCCTTAGAGTATAAGCCAAATAATGGCATCTCTGGTTCAAAGGGTATGGACATTTTAGTCACTTTATTTGCATAATTCCAAATTACTTTCTATAATAGTTATACTATTACTATGTCTATCATTCCTCAATCCCTTTAGTAATGACTTGACGTTTTTTCTCATTTTTTCCAATTTGTAGGTTGTGAGGTACAATCTTAGAATTGTTTTGACTTGCATTTCTCTTATTAGTGATTTGGAATATTCTTTCACATGGTCATGAAATACTTCGCTTTTTATTTTTGGAGAACTGTTCATATCCTTGAACTCTTACGTATTGGGGATTGGCTATTAGTAGTCACAGATATGTCTATGTATGTATGTATAAAAATTTTATGCATTGGGTACCAAATCTTTATTAGAGAAATTTGATATGAAGATTTTTCCCTATTCAACAACTTCCCTTCTTATCCTAGGTGTGTTGATTTTGTATGTGCAGCTTTTCAGTTTCATGTACTCAAAGTTGTCTGTTTTATCTTTTGTGATTGCTTCTGTCTCTTGTTTGGTTAAGAATATATCTCTTAACCATAGGTATGAGAGATATATAATCTGCTTCCTTTCTTATTTTTTAATAGAATTATCTTTAATATTAAGGTTAAATATCCATTCATAATGTATTGTGGAATGTGGTATAAGGTATTGGTTTAAGCCAACCTGCTTTCTGGTTTTCCTAGCAGTTTTCAATCAAATAAAGTGTTTTTACCTAGTTAACTTATGTTTTCCACTTTATTAAACAATGTTATTGAGTTCTTTTGATTTTCCCTTGTCTAGAATGTTCCTACCACTCTTTAAAAAAAAAATACAAGATAGTTTTTGGTGATTGCTGCTTTATAATATAGTTTGAGTTCTAGAAGTTCCATTACCTTCTTTGCCCCTAGTTCTTTTCATCATTTTCCTTGATATTCTAGATCTTTTGTTTTCCCAAGTGAATTTTGTTATTATTTTATCAAGTTCTATGAAGTATCCCCTTGGTAATTTGATTTTTATGGCATTAGAAGTATGAATTAATTTTAGTACTATTGTCATTTTTATTATCTTGGCATGACCTAGGCATGAGCACTGAACGTGTCCTCTAGATATTGAAGTTTCCTTTATTTCTTTAAGAAGCATTTTGTAACTGAATCTATACAAGTCTTTTGGTCGCTTTGGTAGGATGATCCCCAAATATTTTATGCATTTTGTGGTTATTTGGAATAGGATTGCTCTTTCTAGTATTGCTTCTTGTGTTTTGTTAATGTTATATAGAAAAGCTGTTGATTTCTGAGGCCTTATTTTATGTCCTGTAATTTGCTCAAGCTGTTAATTGCCCTTGGTATCTTTGTTGATTCCCTAGGATTTTCCAAATATACCGTTAATCATCAGCAGATATGGATAGCTTCTCTTTATCTGTCTTCCTGCCTTTCATTCCTTTCTCTTGTCTTATTGCTGGTGCTAGTAATTTCAGAACTATCTCATATAATAGTAGGGAGAGTGGGTGCCCTTGCTTCACTTTATTGGGAAAAGGTTCTAGTGTGTCCCCATTGCATATGATGCTTGCTTTTGGTTTCAGATAGATGCTTTTTGTGATATTTAAAAAGGTCCCTCTATGCCTATACTTTGTTGGGTTTTTAGCATAAAAGAATGTTGTACTTCACCAAAGGCTTTCTAATGAGATGATCATGTGGTCTTATAAGTTTTTGTTTTTAATATAATAAATTATGTTAATTGTTTTCTTAAGGTTGAACTTGTCTTGCCTCCCTGGTGTTAATCCCAATTGGTTATAATGCATGTTTTGTTGGATAGCTCACTGTAGTCTATTTGACAGGATTTTGTTTAAAATTTTTGAATCAAGTTATATTGGCCTATAGTTTTCTTTCTTTCTGTGTTTTTATCTTTCCCTTGTTTAGGTATTAGGGCTATATTTGTCTTATAAAAAGACTCTGGTAGTGTGCTTTGCTTCTCAATTTTTTGAAAACAATTAGTAAATTATAGGTACTAACTGTTCTTTAAAAGTTTGCTGGAATTCGCCTGTGAATCATTCAGTTCTAGGAGGTCCACCTACCTCCCCTCTTTGGTAGTTCCTAGATATAACTAGATCAGTTTTCGTTTTCTGAGATCAGGTTATTTAAGATCTCCATCTGGGTCTTCTGATAGTTTGGGTATTTTATATTTTGAAGATATTCCTCTATTTTGTGTTCTCAGTTTTGTTAGCATATAATTGTGCATAATATGTTCTGATTATGCTTTTTATTTCTTTTGGTTTTATTTTGATATTCCCTTGCTCATTTGCTATTTTACTGATTTGATTTTTTTGCTCTCTTTTTTAAAAAGATTAGCTAAAGGTTTATCAATTTTATTAGTCTTTTCAAAGAACTAGGTTTTAGTTTTAATTATTATTTCTCCTCTAATTTTTAATACCTCCTCTTTTGTGCTTAATTTGGGTTTGCTTGTTTGTTGGCTTTCTAATTTTTTTTTTTAGGCAGTTGGGGTTAAGTGACTCGCCCAGGGTCACACAGCTGGTATGTGTCAAGTGTTTGGTCTGAGGCTGGATTTACACTCAGTT